ATTACAATGTTAATGAATATTCATTATATCAGCTTGATAAAAAATTAAAACAAAATAGACGAAAAATGAATTCAATTTATATTTGAATTCTTAATATTATTATAAATAATTTTCTATCAGAAAAAATAGAATGAATTATTTTTTGACTGTTAAACAACAATAACTAAATAAATAATTATTTAATAATTTATTTTTATTAAAATTATGTAATTATTAATTAGAACTTTTATATTTTCATTAAAATTTAAAATATTATAAAATGTTTTTAATTAATTAAAAATAATTACATTCGTTGACAAAATACTCAATTTTAAAAAATATTTTCGTTTAAATAAATTTATATAAAATTGATACCACTAAAATTTGATCACTTGACACTACCCTAATAACACAAGATATCTTAGGATATATTGATAATATCCCGCAGATATCCTAGGGATGTCCTATGAATATCAAAAGGAACTCTTAAGGATATCAAAAAAATCGGCGGTTTGGATGTCCTTTGGATATCCACAGGATATCTTCTGGATATCTCTATAGACTTTCATAAATGTCCTCCAGATATCCCATAGATATAGTCAGGATATCCCACAGATATCATCAGGATATCCCATAGACTTTGTCAGGATATCTCACAGATATTTTCAAGATATTCTCAGTATATCTTCTGGATGTCAAGAAGATATTCTCAGGATACTGTTTTTAAAGTCATTATGAGACTACGAGTGAGAATATTCTGTGAATTAAATTTTATATAAATAAAATAAAATGCAACTTGTTTTTCGAGAAAGTTGTTTAATTTGAAAAATTATTAACTAATTTTTTTCTCATTCGTGATTCATTCCTTTATTCATATGCTTAATATTGTCAGAAAATAAATTGGCTTTAAACAATATAAATTCTTCCCCGCAAATAACGAATAACTATTAATATTAATTATACATTAAGTGCATGAGTTTATTTAAAAACTTTGAAAAATGCGTTTCAAATCTTCATTTAAAATAAATTAGAAGCTCATAAGATTTTTCTTTTTATTATATTATTATTCATTATATTAGCTTAACAATTTTAACCTTTAAAAATATATGTTGAGATATTAAATATCCCGTGAATATCCTACCCAGCAAACACGTTCTATAAATGTTCTATAACAGTGATGTCACAGTTTTACAGAACAGTTGTTACAAAAGAGTGACAGAACTGTTCTATATTATGATAACGTCACAGTTCTATAACAATGTTATGTAACATGACTATAACACGAAAGTCACAAATGATCTGTAACTGACGTTCCAAGGTAGTTCTAGAACTGTGCTAGAAGAATGTTATGTATCTGTTCTGAAATTTTGTTGCAGTTAAGTTCTAGAAAACATTTGTTATTACAAAATGGAACAATTCTGTAACTATGTTACGTCACAGTTCTATAACACAATAGTCACAAGTGACCTGTAACTGACGTTCTAACGTAGTTCTAGAACTGTGCCAGAACAATGTTATGTAGCTGTTCTGAAATTCTGTTGCTGTTAAGTTCTGGAAGACATTTGTTACTACAATTCGGAACAATTCTGTAACAATGTTACGTAACATTTCTGTAACACGTTAGTCACAAATAATCTGCAAGTGATGTTCCAACGTAGTTCTAGAACTGTGTCGGAACAATGTTATGTAGCTGTCCTTTGTCTTAAATATAAAGTTAAATTTGAACAGTTTAAATTTGACAGTGCCGTATATGTGGTTTTATATCCAAGATAGTAGTTGCTTATCTTAGCTTTTTTCTTTTTCTATTAATTTACATTAAAAATTCTGAAACACTTTCTCCGAACCAAATAATTCATGTTAATGCCATTAAAAGAAAGTGACTCAAAATTAATCAAAATGATAGCTTCATTGTTATTCCACTTCTGCACGTAAATAATTAATTTGATGTTGAATGTGTGATGCATATTTTATACTTGTAAATATATGTGACACAGACAGTTAAAAGAGACCTACGGTCCGAAAAAATCGATTTTCATTTTTTTATTGATTCTTATAGTAAATAAGCCGCTCTTTCCAACGCATTAAACCGCAGCTTTCTAGCTGCATTAGTTTTTTAACAATTTCACTTCAAAGTTAGGTACTTTGACAAAAAAAAAGTACAACAAAATCAAATTTGACAAACTTTTCTAAAATTAGTCAAATTCGCTTGAAACTCGTTACTCAGGGGTTTTCGGGGTCGCTGATTACGAATCCGCTGTTAGTTTTTGAAAATTCAAAATGGCGGATTCAGTATGGCGGATGGCTTTTTTAAAAATTGATCGGATTCGCTTGAAATTCGTTACTCGGGGGTTTTTGGGCTCGCTGATTACGAATACGATGTTAGTTTTTAAAAGTTCAAAATGGCGGATCCAATATGGCGGATGACGTTTTTAAAAATTGATCTGATTCGCTTGAAATTCGTTACTCGGGGGTTTTTGGGGTCGCTGATTACGAATCCGATGTTAGTTTTTAAAAATTCAAAATGTCAGATCCAACGAAATTTTTGAGTTTTACACAAATTCGAACAAATTTTAAATGTTGTCCTCCATATTGGATCCGCCATTTAAAATTTTTAAAAACTAACATCATATTTGTAATCAGCGACCCCAAAAACCCCTGAGTAACGATTTTCAAGCAAATCCGATCAATTTTTAAAAAAGTCATCCGCCATATTGGATCCGCCATTTTGAATTTTTAAAAACTAACATCATATTCGTAATCACTGACCCCAAAAACCCCCGAGTAACGAATTTCAACCGAATCAGATCAATTTTTAAATAAGTCTTCCGCCATATTGGATCCGCCATTTAAAATTTTTAAAAACTAACACCATATTCGTAATCAGCGACCCCGAAAATCCCCGAGTGACGAATTTCAAGCGAATCTGATCAATTTTTAAAAAAGTCATCCGCCATATTGAATCCGCCATTTTGAATTGTCAAAAAATAACATCATAATCGTCATCAGCGACCCCCAAAACCTCCGAGTAACAAGTTTTAATTCATTAAAACGTTCACAAGCATCAAAACCAACTTGCTAAACTTCAAAGTCGTTTTTCTCGAAATCTTTTTTTCGGATCATAAGTCCCTTTTAACTGTCCGTGTCACATATATATTTCGCCCTGATGTAAATTTGTAATAAAAAAAATTATTAATTTCATAATAAGACATGTTTTGTGTATTTGATATATAGTTATTTGAATATTAACTTTGTGAGTAACAATAGTAATAAAATTCTATTATATTAACAAGCATAAAGCATTTGTGCATACATTTGTAAGAAAAAAGCAGTATGTCAAATCAAACTAACTCGATATAAACATTTACATTTAATTTTTTAATGACATAAGAATGTGTTAAATATAAATTATATAACTTAATAACAACTTTATTATGCACCACAATAGTACAGGGTGTCCTAAAATTTTAGGGATGTCTGGATATCTCGTAATAATAGCCTTTTTGACAAAAAATTTAAAAATTTGTTCAGAATAGCAAAATATGTTAAAATATGCAATTTGATTTTGTTATTCTGAACAATCTTTCATTTAAGTTTCTTTTTCTCAAAAATAAGATCGTTACAAAATACCCAAATGTCTTGGAAATTTCGGGACAACATGTATAACAACACTAGATCGTTGTTACATTCACAGAAAACTAAAAGGTATTAAAATAAGCTGCAACACTTCTTATTTTAATCAAATGTTTCTTATTTTAATCCATTTTGGTATTAAACTAAGTAAAAATGGATTAAAATAAGAAGCGTTGCAGCTTATTTTAATACCTTTCAATTTTCTGTGTTACTGTTCTTCTCATTTAAAGAACTATGATACATATTCATACTGAAACAATGTTATGTCACAAATATAGATTTTTGTTCCTACACTGTGATACGTTTACGTAACACATATATAATATTTTTTTATCTCTGTTACGTAATTTAGTTACGTAACAAATACAGAACTCTGTTCCTTACTGGTTACATTCCTCTTTTCATAGTTGTTACAACACAGTTCTAGAACTGTTACAAATGACTTTGTAACCGCGTTCTAGATTTGTTACATATCTGAACATACCTGCTGAGTACGACGTTTTGCGTAACCAGTGACTCACACGTTCTTAACCAGTTACAGAACATGTTCTCAAGAAATTTGTAACAGTTCTAGAACAGATATATAACAGTGTTTGCTGGGTAAGAATATCCCACGGACATCCTGAGGATATCCCGCGATATAATATCCAATAGATATTTTGTGGATGCCTTAGGGATATCCTGTGGATATCCTATGGATGTCCTGTTGATGTCCCACAGACCGGCGGTTTGGATATCCTAGGGATATTCTATGGATATCCCAAGATATCCTGGGGACCATTCTAGGATATCGACCATTGATATGGATATCCTAGGGATATCCTTTTGTTATGAGGGTATGTATAGATACAGCACTGTTCGCGTACGAGAACTGACACTTTTCTTAGTCAGGTTGCGAGGATACGAAATGGTCAAGTTGCGAATTATGCAGGTTGCGGGGATTGCCTGCATCTATTTTCTTCGATATTCTGAAGATATCCTAGGATATCCTAAGTATATTCTAGGGATATATAAACTGCCGCAAGCAAATGGATATCCTGAGGATGTTCCAGGGATATCTTTAAATATCCGGTGTTGTGAGGGTTTGACCTTGATTTTCAAGTAATAATAATACAATATATCAAAATTATGTTTTCGACCTTAAAGAAAAATTTTGAATTGATGAAAATTGAAAGTTTCGAAAAAGGTTATTTCTTTTTTAGGTCGTACAATTTTATTTTCAAGGTCAATTTTTTTTAAAACATTTATTACCAACTTGTAGACCTTAAAAATATTATTAAAATCATTATATATACAGTTAAATTTTATGCATTCTACTTATAAATATCGTTAATTTAAAAAAAACATATTCTCAAGAAAGTTGAAATTTCAAAAATTTATAACTAAAAAAATATGCTATCTAATACAATGATATTTATAGACTTCCACTAATAATGACAACATTTTGGCGAAGTTTGGAATAAATTCAATAACTTAAAATTTTTTATTATTTTCTATTTTCCTTCTATAAAGAAGCAAAATTTTCAATTGTTATTTTTTGACCTCGGCTATAGAAATTGTTTAAAAAATTTTGAGCAAAGTTTAAATTCCATAAAAGCTATACAGACGTGCAATTTGGAGTAACTTCAGATTAATTCTGTTGTTATTCCATTTATATTTATTATTACATTTTAAGAATTAAAAATTGTTTAAAAACGTGTATGTTGGAATTGATTTTGTTCTATGTTATTTTATAAGTTTTTATATAAGTTCTTATATATGGTAACCAATGCAGATTTCTGAATTTCCATTATCACTTTAGTTTCTAGACTTACAATTATTTATACATTCTTAGAACTTACGCGTGGTCGAAAAATCGACCACATTCCGCTACTGATCGCAGTTCTCACTCAATGTTCTTTATCACAAGCAAATCACGGGCGTGTTCACACTATTTTTAATGTAATATAGACATAATTGAAAAGAATAATCATTTAAAATTTTGTTGATATATTTTCGTAATATTTTATTTTATAAAAATTGGTTCTCAATTCAGCTGTAGGACCCAATTAATAGCAGAATATATAGTCAAACAAACATTTATGCATTACGTCAAAGGTTGTTAACATAAATGTTAAGGTGATATAATAATGATATAACAATTGCCAGGTGATACAATATTTATTCTCACCTTTTGAATTTATCAAATATTCTGGTCGATTTTTCTACCTGCCGTATAATATGGGTTAAAAATTATATTTTATGTACAAAAATAATTAAATATGAGCAATTAAAGATGTATTTTTGATTCCTTAAGCATATAGAACTATTTAACAATTATATCGCATTGATATATTTATGTTATAAAGTAAATAACATTTTGTTAAAGTAATAAAGTTATAGAATCATAGTATAGCAACTATTCTTTTTACATAGCAATTACATAATTTTTTTTTAATGTTATTGTACAATGAACATAATGTTTTCAGAAGTATAAACAATTAAAAAAATTTATAATGAACAAATCGATTTAAGAATTTAAAGAGAAAGTTACTCGCACATATTGTTTAAATATTATATCCCACTTAAAATCAGGCTTACAATCCCCATCTTCAATTAGGCTACATAAAGTACAAAGTTCATTTGTTGCGAGCTGCTTGCATTTAAATTTCGTTTTCCTTTCCTTTTGAGAAAACACTTATTTTGTAAAGTACAATTTCCTACAACTTTTTTTTTAATTTACCGCAACGTCAACATATGGGGGAATGTAAGTTCCAGTCAAAATATATTGCACTGCAACAACCATCAACTGTGGAGCACTCCATCTGATTATGTATGCACTTCCTGCAACAAACACAAGAAGCTTAGTTTATAAATGTTTAAAATTGTAATGATGAAAATGCATAAAAATTTTTTTTGGTAATTTTACTAAGCTTAATTTTTAACAGGTTTACTATACTATATTCCCATAATCAACTCAAAAAAATCTATGTACTTTTCATTTCATTATAAGGATTAGAATTTCTTAAGTAAAATTCTCATTTAAATCACAATGAATTTTTAAAATACAAATATCACCATAATGCATTAATTTTAACTGATACCGTTTTACCAAGATTCCATGGTCTCCCAAAAATTTATAAAAAAAGACATTCCATTTCGTCACATTGTTTTATTAATAAATAATCCAACACATTTTTTTAGCAAAAACGTTATATAATGAATTAAAAAATAATATCACACATTAATAATAATAGTTTTGAGCTCATTGAAAAAATAAAAAATTCTTATATTCCAAACGATTTCCTTCTGGTCTCTCTTGATGTTAAATCTTTATTTACCAACGTACCACTCGACTTGGTCGTTCAAAGTCTTGAACGTAAAATCACGAGTATCAATAATTGTAAAATCCCCTTTAATGATATCTTACACTACACTGAATTTCTTTATAAAAACACCTTCTTTGTCATCGATGGAAAATATTATCAACATATTGATGGTACTCCTATCGGTTCTTCGATTTCTGCATTTTTTGCTGATATTGTCATGAATGATTTAGAAAGTAATTGTCTAAAAAAATTAAAAATTGAGTATAATTGTGAACCTATTTTTTTACCTTAAATATGTTGATGACACTATTTTATATGTATAACATAAAGATCATATTAACCCGGTTATTGAAATTTTTAATTCTTATCACAATAAACTAAAATTCACTTATGAACAACAAGATAATAATCAAATCAACTATTTAGATATTTCTATAATTATCAAAAATAATAAGATTACATATACCCAGATAGCACGGAAACTTGCAGCAAGCTTGCGGCAAGCTTACCGTGCAAGCTTGTATGAGCTAGCGAAATGTCCCACCCAGCAAGCTTGCCGTGAAAGCTTGCTGTAAGCTTTCCAGGAAAGGTTGTTGCAATCTTGCCATGAATGATTGCTTCAAGATTGCTGCAAGCATAATAAGAATGATTGCGGCAAGCTTGCCGTGAAAGATTGCTGTAAGCTTTCTACGTAATGTTTCAGGAGAATTTCAACAAGCTTCTGGAAAGGTTGCTGCAATTTTTAAAAAATACATTTTAAATTTTAAAAAAATTTATTTGTTTTCTAAATTTGAAAATCCTTGTGACGTTTATTATTATTAATTATGTCCTGTTAATTTTCATTTGAAAACTTAACGAGAAAATTTTCGAAACAAATTTGAGGGGACTGGAAATTGAACCCGGGTTCGACAGACACTAACCAAAGACCTTAACCGAGAACCTACTCGACCAACTATCAGAGAATAAAAAAAAAATAATAAACGTCACAAGGATTTTCAAATTTAGAAAACAAATAAATTTTTTTTTAATTTAAAATGTATTTTTATAAATTGCAGCAACCTTTCCAGAAGCTTGTTGAAATTCTCCTGCAACCTTACGTAGCAAGCTTGCCGCAATCATTCTTAGTATGCTTGCAGCAATCTTTCACGGCAAGATTGCAGCAACCTTTCCTGGAAAGCTTACAGCAAGCTTTCACGGCAAGCTTGCCCTGGGTGGGACATTTCGCTAGCTCAAACAAGCTTGCTGCAAGTTTACGTGCTATCTGGGTAACTGGTATCAAAAATCATCTTCTTCAGGCAGACTCATCAATTAATTTTCGAATCATCCATTGCAACAAAAAATAAACGTTGTATATAACCTTGTAGACCGAGCAATGTTAATATCACATCATTCGTTTCACAAGGACTAACTCTAACATTTTAAAAACATATTATTCCTATTGTTAATAAACCTTAAAGATCCATTAAAAAAATTAGGAAAGGATCCAACTGACAAGTGGAATGAAACGAATACAGTTTATAATTTCAACTGTAAAAACAGTATAGCAAATTATATTGGAAAATCCAAACGTTCTTCAAAAACACGTATTAATGAGCATAAAAATATTAAGAATAAAACATCTGCTCAATCAGTAGTATAGAATTACATAGATCAGAATTGAATCATGAGTTTGTCGTTATACTAGACCTTGAACAGAATTATAAAAAACGTTGTTTTTCAGAAATGTTACATATAAAAATTAATGATTTCACTATTAACAAAAAAGAAGACATAATGTATTTAAATAAAATCTACTTCCCTTTAATTTCCAAATTAGACTCATGATTCTATATTTTTTTATGAAAATATTTCACTACCACGCGCTGTTAACATCTAAGTTCATTGACTCCTTTATTTCATTTAGAGTTCTAACTTTTGTATTTTTGAATTTAGTTTTGACGATAGGTGTCTATAAAATTGATATGCCAGCTTTGAAAAATAAAACTTGTTAAAGCAAAGATACGGTTAAGTTTTATATTGGTAAATGTGCTATTATTTATCTATAAAAAAGAGAATGTGGTGTTTTAAATAAATTTATTAATGTTCATCAGATTTAACCTGAAGATGATGACGAACCAAGTCATCAAAACGTCGTTTTTTGTTTTGTGGCAATAAACAACATTTAATAACATAAATTTCTACGTTATTTTATTCCTTCCAAAGATCGAATTTTTTCAACTTTCTGTTAAACATTTCGGAAAGGAATATCCTTACTTTATAAAAACCTGATTATTCTTCTTTTCAGAAAAATCCTTAATTTTTTTTCAATTTTTTAATTAAAATTAGTAAGAATAAAATTTTGAATTAAAAAAACTTAAGGAACTGAACTTATTTTCGACTCTAGTTTATTATAACAAGGCAAACATAATAGTGATAAAAATTCATCGTCGCCGTTTGCCTGAACTATCGTCCCTTCTCATCGTATCAGAAAGATAAAGTCAAGATATATTGTCGCTTTCTACCTGAACCTTCGCTTTCTCTCATCGAAGGAGAATAAAAGGATCCAGATAAACTTATAAGGTGCATTTATTAGGTATAAAACAATGGCCGTATACTTGACCTATTGTTCTTTCTCATCGCTGGAGAAAGTCTAGACAATTGTTTTTATACCTGAATCCTTCCTTTGCCCAAGAAACCTTACGATATCCTAAATATTCGCGTATTATTAATATTATAAGGGCAGATTCTCAAAATGCTAATTTACAAGCGAAACATCACCGTTATTAAAAATTGATTGTTTTCAGACTTCTTAAAAAATATGGTTGGAATTATAGTTAGTTTATAAATCACACAGGCCGGTCTCAGAATTGACCCTGCACGTCAGATTTTTAAGATATTCTAACCTAAAAGTGAAAAAAAACCCGTTTTTAGCTACATTTGAGGTCATTTAATATTAAGAGATAATTTTTTTATTCGTATTCAGTTATATCGAAAATATAAAGAACTATTTAATTATATGTTTGTCGTTATATTATACATATATGTCTAAAATCAATGTGTTTAAAAATTTAAAAAATAACCCACACAACAAAAGTATATCGCAACGAGATTTGAGATCTTCCAAGGACATCCTTGAACTTTTAAAACATATATTTCATTTTCAAAAAATTTCAAAATGGCGACCAATATGGCGCACCTAGTAAACAATGTTTTTTAAATAAGGAAAACGGTGGGGATTCTACAATGCGCAATGGAAGGTTCCCATTGCGGGAGTAAAAAATAGATTTTTTTTTGCATTTTTTGAAACCTACATATATACGTGTGGAATATATATATATATGTAAAGCGATTTTCTGATTTGAAAATATTTTCATTTCTACAGCGTCTTGAACTCACCGACGTTCCGAAGCTGAGAACCTCTGAGGTCGTAAGTCTTCCGCCATATTGGATCCGCTATTTTGAATTTTGAAAACCTGATATCATATTCGTAATCAGCGACCCCAAAAACTCCCGAGTAAGGAATTTTAGGCAAATTGAATTGATTTTTTAGAGTAGACAAATATTACACTTAAAAATACTTAAAAATGTTCTCAAAACTTTAAACGCGTTTTTCTCAAAACACGATTTTGCAAACTGGTGGGCATCGTAGCGTCACAACTATTTAACCAATCAACTTGGGGTTTGCGGCTAATTAAAGGTAAATAAATTCTGCAGGGGTTATACCTTTAATACGATACAATAGTTAACAATAAAGATTTTTTACAAGAGGTCAAACATGAAAAAATAAGGAAAAAACACAGTGTTTTAAAAAAGTGTCCGCCATTTTGTAATTTGTTCAACTTTTTAACTATTTTATAGGTATAACCTATTCTTTAGGATGTCAACTTTCTGAAAAATTTTAATTTTTTGTTTTAGACTCAAAATTGCGCATTGTAGAATGCCCACCGTTTTCCTTATTTAAAAGAACATTGTTTACTAGGTGCGCCATATTGGTCGCCATTTTGAAATTTTTTGAAAATGAAATATATGTTTTAAAAGTTCAAGGATGTACGTTTATTTAGGAAAAAAACTACATTACTAAGTCATAACCGTACCGAGCAAAAAATTGTCAAAGTTTGTGTTGATTTTGGCCTCCGCAATAAGAACCTCCCCTTAAGATATCAAAGATATACAAGGGATATCTCTGGAATATCCAAAATTTCGTCCCGTAAGTTATTACCAGCACGAAATATGCTAAACAATGAAAATTTAATTATTGCAACAAATAAAAGTAAATGCTTTTTACATTAAAAACCCACAAAAACCAAATATTTATTTTGAAATTATATTTTTAAATAAAATTTATATTTATAAATATACTGCACGATTTTGACGAAAAAAAAACTTTTCCCGTCGCATAACCTGAAATTGTCTCTCATGTAGAAAAAAAATTGTTTAGTAAAATTGTAAAATTGTTTTATAAAAACAAAACTGTATTTATTTGTTATAATTGTTCACGGAATTAATATATTATACTTGAAGATACTGAAAAAATAG